GGACAACTGATCGGAGAGAATATTCTTCACGCAGATCCAGTTTTAATTAACGAAGGATTGGTTCACAAGTACCTGAATGATTTCAAGTTTGACCACTAACTAATACATCTGGTAATACTAGATAGATGTTTCGTCCTTTTTGGGTCTCCTCAGCAAAAGATACCTATCATCCAACCTAATCCGGAAACTTCAGGTTACGATTCAAGCCTGTCGATAATTCAACCACTGAGACGATATCTAATGGCCAGTCTAATTTATCATATACATGTAGTGCAACCACACAGACAAAGTTATCGACGATTATCCGTGTTCACACCCAACTTTATTGACCCCATTCTCCGTTTACAACTTGTTTTACCATCGTTCTTACCACTTTCAATGTGGATATGGTCAAAAACCAAAACCAGTTAGAAAACCATTGAAAATCAAGCGTTGGATAGGTCTTCTGATATCTTCTGTATCGGATTTCGTCCCAAATGACAGAATATTCAACGAACTCGACTTGTAATCTGAAGGTCTTGGGTGAGAACTTTGGTTGGGCTATTGGTGAATACTGATGAAGAGTCCCCGACTAGGACAAAGCACATATCCAGTTCTCTTTAGGTTTTAAATAGTTCTCTTAAGTGATAGTGATTCTGTTTAGCCTTTAACATTCTGATTTGTTGATATCTTACCTGATTAACTCTCAGTTGATTTCGTAGAAAATTTAACCATGAACTAATATCTTTTAGAGAACCAATAAACGCCGAGGGATGCTGGATAACTGTTCTGGTTTTCTAACGGACGTCACCTTTTGTTCTTAAGGGTATTCATCCGGTAGTCATCAGTAAGCTGGAGACTGCTATTCAATGACCCGGCCTACGTGGCTAAATGGCCCTACCGATAGCTGCTGCCTTAACGTGGTGTTCGGGTTTGCATATCGTAATGACCCAACAAGCTACACTGGCCTGAACTATTGTTCCTGTAGGTCCTACCATTCCAGGAAGATTGTTAGGATAGCGATTAGACTAAAAGCAGTTGCCTGCTTAGTGTAAGATTTTCTGTACACTATGCTGCGGGTCTGTGGAGGAAGTCGTACTGCCCGGACGACTAGCATGCCAGCTATGCTGTCTCTCCACTCTAGAAAGAGGGGGTTAGAAAAGGTCGACCGAAAAAATTGTACATCCCAACTTATCCTACGGTGGTCCGAACTCGGCGGTAAATCTATTAATACAGTGCATACAGGCCGTGTGTGACCGGCTGGCTTCAAGCAGTTGTCCCCTTGGGCTCTGCGGTCACGCAACACCAATTCTCTTTCTTTTTCAGGTATCCGAAGAATCAATCAACTTCCACAGTGGTGTGGACAGCCAGGAAGTAACAACCGCCCACATACTTCCAAAAGCCCACAAAGCTTGAATGAACTTCAATTCAATCCCTGAAAAATCTCAAACTAGGATGAAATCTACTAATTCCTGATTTTCAACGATCTGTCAAACTGATGTATTGACTCTTGATGAAATGTTACAATTGAAAATAATCAATATGTTAACAGATGGTTCTAAGAATACATGCTGACTTTGAATGACTGGCTATTTGCCCCAAAAATATAAATACAACTAACAAAAAATATGCGTTTTTTTAATTAACATGTTCTAATATCTGAATGTGTGTGTGTGTATGTGTGAACCAAAGATAAAAATATATATCTGATGTGAGAATTACTCATTCTTGATTTTTATCCCAAAAAGTGATAATCTATTTTCTTTTTCTAGCAGTGAGGACAAAACGGGTCAAGGTCACCACTCAGGGGCATGTTGCTTTTGTTCTCACTCACTTAGAAAGACGAATTTGAATGTCAAAAAAAGTAGAAATTCATTTTAAAATTTAAATTCTTGTTAAAATACATATAATTTAAAATTTATCTTTTTGTTTCGATTAATCTTTTCTAATTTAAATTTTGTATAATAGTGATTTTCCAATGGTTCTCTAACCGATGTCAGCTCAGGATGAAATCCTGTAACCAATCAATCAAATCCCTACAAAACCAACACTTGAATATCAATGAGATACTCACTGCCGACTTGCCCTATTCAGGTAGGTAGGTTACCTGGGGTTCTAGTGGGAAGTCGTGACCAATAGGATGCAGCAGGTCGGGTGTGAGGACAAATACTCGCCGAAGACATTGGCTAGCGGTGGTGCTATTTCGTAAATTGTTAGAAGTCGGAATTCATGAACTGGCCATTGGATTGGTGGGTGCCAGTGGCTTAATGGTTTACCAGCTAGCTCGTCTTGTAACCAGTTTGTCCTGGGTTCGAACCCCGGTGTGAGTACTTTTGAAGAGCACCGAACTAGGACGAAACAGCTGTCCAGTACTCCCTAGTTGGCCTTCCACTGGTTCACTAACTGATGTCAGCTTATGATGAAATCCTGAAATCAAGAATTAGTTTGTAGGGATTTGTTTCCACGAGTTTGACCACCACAGATTGATATCAGTTAGAGAACCCATTGAAAACCAACTAGGGAGTCCTAGACAGCTGTTTCCTCCTAGTTTCTGGGGTTTCTTCAGAGGTACGCACTCACCAGAGTTCGAACCCAGGACATTCAGGCTATCATCCAGCCACTGAGACCAGATCCAATGGCGTAGCTGGTCCCAGCCATTGTCATCTGTGGTGAGTATTTGTACTCACAGCCAACATGGTGAATGCCACTGGTGTCACGACTTCTCACTAGAAATTCAGTCAACTTCGTCCTGTAGACAGAAACTAGGTAGCATTACAATAATTTTCAAGTTTTTTACGAGTACTGTGAATCAGCTGTCCAGCACTCCAGTGCTGGTTTTCAATGGTTCTCTAAATGATATCAATGCGTGACCGAATTCTTAGAAACAAATCTAATCCTTACCAACCAAATATTGAAAATTAATCTGATGCTTGTTAATGACTTGCTAAAGGACGAAGTTATTCGCCTGGGCTTCCAGAGAAGTCGTGACCACTGAGGTCCATCCAGTCGGGAGTGAAGATAGAGTTTCCACCGACGAAAGTGGTTGGTGCCAGTCGCGTTAAATATCAGGAATTGGTGGAAGTTAGAATTCGTGGAGTGGCCATTGAATCAGGTCCCAGTGGCTTAATCGTCTACCAGCTAGCTTGCCTTGAAACTGGGAGATCCTGGGTTCGAACTGTGGAGGGGGGTGCGCACTTCTGAAGAGTTCCAAGTCACTGGGACGAAACAGCTGTCCAGTACTCCCTAGTCGGTTTTCCAATGGTTCTCTAATTGATCAACTGATAAAAAACCAAACGAACTCTTGAAAATAATTTTCAAGTGTCAGGGGTTTTAGGGATTTAATTTGATATAAGAATAAAACTTGGGCACTGTGGTAGAGTGTAATTCCATTATGGGTAAATTTTATTTTGATAGAGTCTCACAGTGTTATACAGTAATATTTACTGATGACGTTTCGAGCACAATTTATTACCGCTGATAATCATATCAAGGTAATCACACGACTTCCTAAATTCATTTATATAGTTCCATTATTTTTCACTTGATTTCCACTTGATTTGATTGGTAGTGTTATTTTCCATATTTCGGGTATTAGTGATGATTCATTCCTATTGCACGTGTTGGGTGTAGATTCGATGAACAAAGTGTCTAACAAACCGAGCCATAGCACTAAGTAGCACAAAAAAAGACCTAAACGACGAGATAAAACAGATAGAAGAAGCGTTGGTGTTGAATAATTATCCTTTAAAATTCATTAGGAAGATAACTAAAGGCCAGAAACAAAATAAAAATAAAAATAATTGTGGAACTAGTAATGATAACATAAATAAGAGAGAATATAAGTCATCTACAGTTATACCATATTAAGAGGGGACATCTGAGACCCTACGTAGGATTCTAAATAAAGCAGGAATTAGGGTGGCATTTAAACCCACAAACTCACTCAGGGACAAGCTCTGTAGGTTAAAGGACCCAGTGGACCCAATTAGACAAAATAATATAATTTACAAAATACCCTGCAATGACTGTGAGGTCAACTACATAGGTCAAACTAGTAGGTCAGGAATAGTCAGATTGTCAGAACATAAGAATTTAGCTAAGATAAGAATGGTTGACCCAGAAAAGATAAGTAATTTAGAAAAAAGCTCAGCAATTGCAGTGCGTGTATTAGCAGACAACCACACAATAGGGTGGGAGAGGGTTAAAATTCTAAAAAGTAATCTAGGTAGGTGGAGAGAGAGGTTGATTACTGAATCTTTGTTCATCGAATCTACACCCAACACGTGCAATAGGAATGAATCATCACTAATACCCGAAATATGGAAAATAACACTACCAATCAAATCAAGTGGAAATCAAGTGAAAAATAATGGAACTATATAAATGAATTTAGGAAGTCGTGTGATTACCTTGATATGATTATCAGCAATAAATTGTGCTCGAAACGTCATCAGTAAATATTACTGTATAACACTGTGAGACTCTATCAAAATAAAATTTACCCATAAGGGATTTAATTTGTCTAAAAACTTGATACGTGACTTGCATTATATATTTTTATTTAATGTTATTTGTTACTGTAGGGATTTCTGTCTTAATTTTTGATTTTAGAGGTATCCATTGAAGAATGACTGTATTCTATCGGTACCTTATTGATTTATTATGAGGAATTATGACTAATATTCACCCTGTTGCCTAAATAAACACCTCAAGTTAAGCATTATTTCCTTTACGTGAACGTCTATAACGTACGCACACCTACAAACACACACACGCACGCACGAACGCACATAAACACACACCTGATGTGTTTTACTGCTTGTAAGGTCGACGTTATCTGATTGGTTAATTAAAAACAATTGTTTGTTTAGTACTCAGAGAAGAGTGAAGATGGGCAGATAGACATACGCACACAACACACACACACGGGTTAACGTTTCACAAACGGACACATGTCTTAAAAATAATGATAGTACGGTCCGCTAACACCACCCCCGTATAACATAAAGTGGGCGTTGCACCAATCATATGCAATCATAAGAATAAAACACGGTCAGCAGTGGACGCAATAATTTGTCTTTATTATTTTTTTCAAATTATTTTCTATTGAACTCTTGGGCAGCCCAATGGGCGTTATTGTTTAATACTTCAATTTGGGCAAAGTTATTATTATTGTTATTTAAAATCATAGTGTATTGGGAGAATTGTTTCTTCACTCTTGTGTTGACATAAGGCATATTGCTATAGATACATTTACAACATTGGACAATAAATACGCTTTGTGAGTGCACGTACACACACACTCACACATACACTGACTCACATACACAGAGAGAAGCACACTGAAATGATATTCTGTCATGTGTTTGCATGATTCAACTCAAATGATGATATCGACTTCGATGACAACAAATACAACTGGTGCTTCTTGTTCCTCTACGACAACGACGACGCTTACGACGACGCCTATGCCTATTCCTACTTCTAATACTAGTACTGATATGCTTCCGCCTAAAACTCCACAATCCGCAACAAATTCATCACATCAGACAAATCTATATCACCAGCATCACCACCAACATCAACATCAACACCATCACCAAACAGAAAATTCCCTTCCAGGTGATGATGATGATGATACTGCAATCAGTTTAGATGGTACTTGTTACGGCGCTAATCTTAACGAGGATTCTATGATGATCTTGTCACAATCAATTGATTCTATACATACAGTTGGAACTAATAATGGGGAAGGGAATGAGGTAATTGCTAGTGTGTTTTTGATATTAGTATTACTATTAGTAATAATAATAATAATAATTGATGTTGACATTTGTAAAAAATTTATATTTGTAAAATCTCAGCGAGATTGAAATGATTAATTCCAACGTTTCTTGTGTTCGACAATCTGGTCCGAACTTCTTCAGGGAAATTAATCAAAATTAACATAACAGAGGTTTATATATAAAAGGAACATCACTTG